TCGCGACAGATGACCCCTCCCTTTTTTTTTTTTTAATAGAAAATATTGCATGGAACTCTTTTGAGAATCGAGTTGAGTTGAGAATTTTCGTAACGACATGGAACGAGAAAACCCGTTTATTCGTTTCAAGAACGACACTGTACACCAACGCGGGAAACTCGTTAGAAAATTATTTCTCCCTCGCAATGCTATTCTTCGCCGTGCACCGGCAGACGTGGAAAAAATATTTTATTTATAGTTGCCGAGTTCGTTTCAGCACCTGCCCGCAGCGTAGGTCGATAAAAGTTACAGGGTTTCTCGTAAAATAAATATTTATGAAGATTGTATCGCCGCGCGTTTCCACCGTCGTCACGTTCTTAATTCGATGTTTAGATATGGATGTAGCACGCGTTATCCTAGAGGTCGCGTACTATGTCTCTTAGTTTTCCTTCATTCTACATCTTTCTCCACTCTCTTATTACTCTTATCGTATATCGTTCTAGAGATATTTTGAGCGTCAGTAACGGATCGTACCTAAACAAGATTCTTCTTGTTCGTTCTGGATAACAATTTCAAAGAACTGCGTCGACTACGTTCCTTCCATCGAGAAACCTAAGACCCACCCCGAAGGTGACCTCGCGAGGTACGCGGAGGACGTTCGAAGTCTACCAAACAAACCAAGATAACGAGGACCTCCGGATTGCTCTAACGACAAAGACAATCACGACGTGGCCCTCGGTATTCGTTAAACTCCACCGAAATGGTAGACCGAGGGAGAGAATTTCGAAGCCCTATGTTTGCCCGGCAATTGCAAGTAAATTGGAACGTTCGTTAAAAAATAAAAGGGAAGACAGAGGAAAGTTTTCATCGACCTAGTTCCCTCCCTCGTCGTCGGATTCCTAATTTCGTTACGAGTCGAAGGATTTCCGCGCGACTTTCCAATTACGGATCTTCCTTTCTGAATGCGACGAGGCGAGGGGTGATGGCGATGGAAAAAAAGGCTCCCTGCATCTCTTTCGGGGTTTTCAGGAGCGTTTCACCGCCTCTACCCCGCCTTCTTCGCTGGATGTATACACGTTTCCCGCCGGATGTCGGGTGCTGCCGGGAAAACGGGGGTATATCTACGGGCACCTAGGCCAGGAGAGGGTGGAAACTTCGACCCGTCCTCTCGAAATGTCAAAGGTTGCCGCGCAAGGCGCATCGACGTATCCCCCGTTTTCCAGGAGCTACCCGCCGTACCCGATCCGATTGTTCCTGCTCTATCGTCGGGGATGATTATCGTCACTTCCATTTACCGACGACCCTCGATCGTCGAGGTTCTCCGATCCGTGGGGCCGCGACGTTCCCAACCGTCGCGATTGTCTGAATTGTCTCCGAAGAAACGAAAACGACAGCCGCGTACTCTCTTCTATATCGAACCCTTTAAGGGATCTTCCCGCTTCAGAGAAGATTATTATAGTAATTAATTTGTCCCGAGAGAATTCCTAACGATCGAGTAATTCCAGAAACCACGAATGAGAAATACTCGATGAACGTGTTCCGAGGACGAACCGTCTGAAATGATCCGTTCAAGAATTCCCTTAGAGATGACCCATTTTTCGAGCTTCACGGAAAGAAAATCTTTTAGGAGACTGGGCTAGTTTGCAGGTAATGATAATGAGTCTATTGGTTTTTTCGCTTCCCGTCTGACGTCTACCGTCTGAATTAATATAAACTTGTTATCTGTAAAAGCTTCCTACTTTTAGAGACAAAGAACTTGGCTCGGAAGTTACGAGCTCGAGAAAGACACCACCTTTAAACCTTGTTTCGCTTCGTTTGTTGACTTCACTAGAGAGGATCATTCCGAATGGTCACTCGGAATACTGGTAGGATTCTGCGGTTCTACACCCACTGTATCTCGGTTAGGATCGTATTACACTGCTCGCTCAAGTGGGAACCCACCCGGTAGTGAAGATAGTCATTTTGCATTTATCCAGTCGATCCTGTTTTGCACTTATCTATTAGATAATATCGAGTCTTTGCTGTTACATGTCTCATCGGGCGGCGTGTACCACCGGTAGCTGACTCGCGTGTCCATCATGTACCGCCGCGCCGCCCCATCGCGAGAACCACAAATAGCAACGCTCGTCGCGAACTTATCTCTCTTAACTTCTAAAGTTTTGATCAAAGTTTCGATAAAAGAATTCGCGATATAACCATCGGATAGCTCAATGTATTCTTGTGCGTTCAATTTCAGCGGCATTTCATAGTTCGAGCATTCCTCTGGCCTCAAGGACTCTCGCGACGCTCGCGGACACACGGGAACATCGTACTCCTTGAACTTTGAGTTTTACGCGAGTCGTAAAAATTTTAAAATGAACGGATCTCCCTTGGTAACTGTATGGTAATGTCAAAGGAGTACGGAGTTACTTGGCGAACTTTGAACGTTACGACTTTCGCGAGGATGAATTTATTGAAAGAAATGGATCTCCGGAGTCCTTCGTGCACGCGACATTAAATAACTGTCATCGGTTCTTTCACGGCGCTCTGTCTTTTCGCGACATTTTCAGATTTCGATGTTCTCGACGACACGATGCTTGCCGACGCGTTTGCTGTTATTTTCGTTTGAGAAAATAATTATTTAAACGCGACGAAACGATATTTTAGTAAATTAGTTGATTCAAGATCAATTTAAGGTATCCAATGGATAAAGTTTCATTGAATTCGTTCTTTGGCGGAGAAGTTGCGAGTGCGTGAATATAATAAATTAATTAGCAGTGTTATTCAGCAGTTCTGGTAATTAAGGTGCCGTTGCAAAGAAGAATGCTTCTTGAGCTACTCCGTTTGCAAGTTTTTCTGAAATATGCGGCTACGAACATGATTTTCGCTGTATAGGACCGTTAACAGGGGTACGGCATACCGACGGCTACATGTTTACTGGTTTCCACTGACTCCAGACACTCTGGCGCTTCGATAAAATACATTTTAAGCTGTTCCATTTGTCCTGCTATGCATTTATCTGCACGAGGTGCCCGTCGACTCCATTAATCTTACTCAATAGAAATTTAGAATAGCGCGAGAATTCCTATTCAGTGGATTGAAAATATCTGAGCGAGTATTCTTCGACTTCGGTACTTTTCTACAATTTCGAGAAACACGAAGATATCTTTTTTTTTTTTTTTTCTTTTACGAAATCGCCAGACTGCCCCTTCAATTTTACGCGATTGTTTATCGTTAGACGGTCGTCCTGAGCTGTTCGATGATTGTTTATAAATCGACTTGAATATATCGCAGACTCCTACCTGTTCGTGTCGAGTGTCGATCGCTCGAATCGCAGCACGGATATTCCACAAACAGAGAACAAAACTTCGCAGCGAATACAAACGGATGAGCAGCAAGATTGCTATAAATACGGTCGATTTCCATACGTCATAGAAGCTACGTTCGTGTACCGGAAGTCAGATGCTCGTCACGAAATCGAGATAACACGGAAGAATCGTTCTGGCTTTACTCTGAAAAATGAAACCGCGAGAATTTTACGAAACAGCTTCATCTCGGCGTATACCGAATGGAAACGATTCAATACGAGAGGAATCATATCCGCGGCTCGTAATTGGACGAAGACATTTTCCGTTAAACAAGTACCATTACACGTTCATTGAATAAGCGTGAGATAAGACCCTCGTCATCCGAGGAACGTTCGAGAAGTTGCTGTTACGCTTTTGTTGGATTCCCCCTCGATTATGGGATGAAAGCATTTCTGTATTTCGTTCGAAAATAAATTTTCCAGGTGTCCGAACGTCGGAACTGTTGTTTAGGATACTTGGAAGAAATGAAATTTTTGCGTAGATATCAAACATCCATCGATAGGTGCGAATCCCTTGCGTATTCGTTAAACGCAAAATAAAATATCAACGTTGTTATACCATTTGCGAAAATACCGCATCTGTTAACCACGTTAATACGAGCCACGAATGAATCAAATTCGAGATCCATTCACGAGATTCGCGCAAAAGGAAATATTTCCCGTGGGAGTATCGCAAGCTACAAAAAATTCCTGAAACATTCAACAAAAGCGAGTTTCCGTGACAAAAGAATCCGCGTGCATCGCGATCGAGATTCAAATGCCGCGTCCTCGAGTTGATGGCGCCGTGCGCGTGTTTCCTTTGAAAAATAAAAAGAAGAAAAAAATGAATTAAAACCGGAGCGCGACCTTATTTGAAAGGAGCCACGACAAACCGCCCGGCGATAAAGGAAAATGCAGCACGGAGATGGTTTTCCTTTCGTACAGGTTAAAAGTCCTGTCGCCACAAACGTTGCGTTCGTTGACTGATCCGAAGATGTCTTCTTTAATCAGCGTAAGTGGAACCCTCGCCAGGAGCGGAAGAAACGTTTGTACTGAAAATACAGGACGTACATTGAGAAGAAAGTTGTCAGCGATAAGCAGAGGTACTTAGCGAGCTGTTCGAGACTTTCGCAATTCTTCTTTCTGCCATCGACGATGGATCTTAGAATAACATGGGCGCTGTTGTTCAAATGCCTTGAATACCGCCATAAAAAAAATGTCGTCGCTCGTTAACCGTGTTGTATTCCGTTTGATTCGTTACTGATTATTATCATTTTACAAGTACGAAGTTGACAAAGGTGTACGCGTGGTACCGGCTATGGATCCTCGTATCGAGACGGTTCGGACAATTCTGAGTTCAAAGGGAAAAGTAGCGGGCTTTATAGGTTCGGGAAAGATAGAAAATGGAAGGATAGGAATTATCTTAAGTTTCGTGGTCAGCAAAGGAGAAGGTAGCGAGGTCGAGGTCCGGGATGACTAGTCGGGATGAAATCATCAGTTATCGAAGGAAGAAATTTGAAATGTTTGCTGCTGGAGTTTGACGGAGAATGAGAAGAAGACAGAGTTGTCTTAACTAGAGCTAATACAAAGATTATGTTGGCATACAACAACCGATAACAGTTCTGCGACGGTAGATCGTGTTTTATTATACTGTCATTTCAAAGTTCCAGAGAGAAATGTCCCCAACGTTGCGTCGTCGTCGATGAATGTTTTCGCAGGCGAGCCTGGAATTAGTGCGAGGAGTTACACCGAAAGGTCTTTCTTGACCAGCAAGAGAACGTCGGTTCCCTCGCGGTTCGCTTCGACGTCGATCGGCCACGGTTGGATGTTTTCCAAGGCGATTTGTCCTTCGACAGGATACGCTGGCCCGTCCACGAGGAAGTTATCTCATTCAGCGCGGAGCATTTATTTCTCGGCGAACAATCCGGCCTGCAGGAAGTACTCGTCGCGTGGGAACACGGAGAAGGGCGTTTTCTGCGGAACGACGTCTCGTAGACGTCGGTTCTCCTCCGAAGATAGCTCCTGCAACAAAACGTCGACGTCAGACAGGCGCGTTGATCAGACATCTGGGAACCAGGAAGCAGCCAAGGACCGGTGCTCGAAGAGGAAGCCCGTCGCAAGCTCCTGTTCGAGTGCGCCCATGGAAGTATGCCCCGAGCCCTCGACTACGTGCACGCTGTCGGTCGAGGATCCGTGCCCCAAGCCTTGCCCTCCCCCTGTGTGCCCTGCTCCCGAGGAATCCAATCGTTGCTCGAACGTGGACGATTATTGCGTTACCGAGGGTAATGCTTTGCTATTTCGATTCTTTCGCAAAGTCTCCGCATCTTTTATTATCTCTCTCTCTCTCTCTCTCTCTCTTTTACCATCTATAATTTATTAACTCGTATTTCGTAGGTCGGACAGATAAAACGTCGAGCGAAATTGCGTCGCGCATTATCGTTAATGCCCCAGCAAAATCAATAATTGAACGATTATGTTGTGTCGTCCCCCTCGAGGCACGGATTTTTTTTTTTTTTTTTTTTTTTTTTTTTTTTTTTTTTTTTTTTTTTATATATTTCTCTCCATTGACACGACGCGAACTATATCGGATATTTATAGATACGGTACGGTGATACCTTATCTTTCCCAGCTACTTTAACGGTGATTGTTTTGTCCAAAAATCGTTAGTCCTCGAAATTGTAATTACGCGAAGCGACGAGAAACTCCTGCGGTTTGAGCATCGCCGACGATATCCGACCACGGCTAGCCTTCCTGTTTACACCAGGAGAATCGGATACGAATAAAACATTAGCTGGTTCCGCGTTTCAAAACATACTCGGCGCACCGTGTTGACTGTAGTTAAAGCGCAGAGGTAAACTCGAGCATTACAGACGGTCTACGTCTTCGTCCGTGTAGTCCACCGTCACGCTTGACATCAAGGCTAAACATCGTTCATCTGGATAACGGATGGAAATAGACTCGTAATGGATCTAGAATGACCTGGAAGCCATGCTGGGAAAGTTTATCGGTCGCTTTATCCGACGACGCGTATATAATAATAAAAATTCGAAAGACGACTTACCGGAGCTTTGTCGTCTAAGAGAAAAACTAACAGACTTTTGTTTGCGTGACAGTGTCGCGGAAGGAAAGATTCTATCGGTTTTTGTCTCTGTTCGTGGCGATGCCGCTGATATTGGTCATGTCGATCTACGTTTACACGAGAGAAATGGAAAAGAAAAAACAACCGCGGCCAGAGTTCGTGGACGTCCCCTACATGCGTCGAATAATTAAGGTGCCCTTTCCACGATTCTTTGGAAATATTAATTAATCCTTTCGGTACTACTGGCATCCACGAAATTGCTACGATGGCTTTCTATAGTATGCGTTAGTTCTATAGTATGCGAAACTACGAAAATTTAGTGTCAACCACGCTCGAGATTTCCATGAATGCCACACACGCAATGCGAAACACGTTTTCGCGGCGTACGCTGTCGCAACTCTCGTGGGAGACTTCCTCGTAACACGAACGTATAACCGCGGCCAGTTCCTCCGTAACGAAAGGGTTAATTTAGGCTTTCAGACATTCCGGCCTTCTTTCCGTACAACGCGATACTTCTTGCGAACGAAGCCTTCCGTTCCGCGTATCTCGAAAACGTAATCCGTTTGTGTTCTACTCGTCATAAATCGATTAATGAAGTCTTACCCGCTCGTTCGCCTTCTTCGCCGCAGGAATTTGATATTCGTTTCTACCTCCGTTCCCTCGGCCGCTTTTGCACGTCTTCCGCCGCAATCTTTTCGCTGAGCTCACACTTAAACGAGACTTACGTTCGAATACTGTACGAGAAACGCGTAGTTTCCCTCCGAGGTACGAATACAAGCATTCGCTTACAGGTTCTCGTAAATTCTGAGACTCTTACGTTTCTCGTGCAATTTTTCTCGATACTATACGCCGTCTAATATATGTACTTTGCAATTAGCCTTCGATCGCACGGTAACGCTTTACGAGTAACGTATAATCGATAATGAATACAGAACGGAAAGGGCCGGGAGCGTCTCCACGTTCGATAACTGATCGCGAGACCTTTGTCCTGTCCCTACGAGTAATTTATAAATATTTCTCTCGGACAGCCTTTCCCGTGGGGCGACGGCAGGCACACCTTGTTCCACAATCCCGTGAAAAATCCAATATCCCCTCACGGATACGAAGTGGAAGACCCAAATGCACCGAAGACAGGCGAACCAAAGGATTAACGAACGCGTCGCGGTACACGTAAGAGAAAAGGGACAATGAGATCGCTTTAACCGTGCGGCGTGACTCTCGGTTTTATTGTTCGTTCATTGTCCCGGAAATTGGCTCGAAATAGATCGGTTCAGACGACGCTGGAGATCTGAAATTGCCCAACGGAAACGTATCATCGAACGTCTTCGCGTGTACTTTTGAACCTTTGGAAATTCGGGCCGCTTTCAAAATTATATACGAACGAATTGCCACGGGAGCGAATCTTTTCCACGGCGTTTCCTATCCGATTGTTTCGCTTGCTAACTTATTCGCGGTGCGGTATTCGACTGCCGGATGTGCCGTATCTGGCGGCCGAATGAAAATAACGCGGCGATTATGGCCGCCTGACCGCGTTCGATCTCCGTAGATTCCTTCCTCGTTTCAGCAACGAGCTACGATCAAATTTCCATTCCCGTGGCATGATAATTACCGCTAAACTTGTTCAACTCTCTGTTGCGTAATGTGATCATCAGGCATTATTAAAAATTCATGACACGCTGTAAAGTATTCTAAATCCTCTTCGTACGGTACGGAATTAAATAAACGCGCAGTTAAGGCAATAAAATGTGTATCGGAATAGAGAGTTCGAACGTACTAAAAAAGATTCAAAAATTCGTAGAGTCTACGAGTTCTACTTTTTCGAACGTTCGCTGTGGTTTAACGTCTATTTCTGGTCCACTTCTCGCGCATTCCTCGTTACAGCGGAACAAAACTTCGCTGAAGTCGAGGGTGCAATGATGCCGCACCCTTGTTACTCTTCTAACTCCCCTATCTAACGACGGTTCCCAAGGAGTCTCGGATGGTTTGTGTCTGCTATCCTACGCGTTTCCTTTCGTGTGTCGCTCGATGAATCCGAATACGGTAAAGTCTCCTTACATGAACGAACTCGGGACTGAACTTGCGCGTTCATCGAAGAGTTCGTATATTTTTTGGTGTTTCCCGATGCGCATCAAACGTAGAGGAGGACAACGAATAAAGAAGAGGAAAGCATTACTATTTAATATTCGTCTTATAAAAAATATATAATATGTAACAGCACTCGTAAATAAATAATTTCTCGTCGTAAAATTTAAGTGTACGATTTGATTAGGATTTGATTAGCATTGTCTCGCCAATATATCCGATCTCGGATCATGTTCTCGGATCATGTTTTCGGATCATGTTCTCGGATCATCTCGAGGGGTATACAACACAGTGGTGGGGATGGTTTCTGTGCATTTATCGTAGAGAAATTTCTGCATTTAAAGAGAGTTTACGGTACGCGTATCCCCGGAGAAGGTCAACGTTGGACGAGACCCCCGAGCACGTTCTTGTCCTCTCCTTTCGTCACTGGGTGAAACTTGTCGCTTGCGTCACACATGTACAAGGCACATGTGCATATTATGCCGGCAGGTTCTCCTAACGTCGTTTGACGTCACGACGACGTTTGGACATCCGAGGATGGGATGCGCTACCTCCTTTTTCTCTCTTCTCGATTCATTCGAATCGGCGTAACGATATCCGGCGTTCGGTCGCAATCGTTCAAACGTTCTAATTTTACGCCGGTAACATAATGGCACCTTGTGTTTATTCTTGGACGATTAATGCGATTCTCGACATGCCCGTGCCACGAACATGCGAAACGAAACAGAAACTATTTCAGTTACATTCCGTAATCATTCCATTAGAATTCCTCTTATTTCGAAAAGTACATTTTACTAGTTCACGTATTTATAAGATATGGTTCTTATTTTTCGCAGATACGATCATAAAAATTGTAGCTACACTTGTTCGATTGCGTTCATGAAAGATCGATGAGTTGGAGGTCAAGGGTATTTCAAGTTCGATTTGATTCTTTTTAAAGACGAGTTGCACGACCTAATATACTGGATTATTTAAGTCCGTTAAATATTCAACGAAATCGTCTGGAAAGTAGTCATTCCAGCACAAAATTAATCGTGGCCACCTTGGGTGGAATGTTGGGAATGCCTTAAAAAAAAAAAAAAAAAAAAAAAAAAGAATACAGCTTTCTATTGGGAGGCGAAGGGAGTTGTCCGCAGTAACAAAGTCGATAAAATAATGCCGAGCGAAAACGAACAAAGACGCCGCAACTTTGGCAAGCGATACTTATTTAAAACTGTACGCCATAAATGGCTACCCACGTTTTTACCGTAGTCTCTGCGCGTATAATAATCAATACAATGATTCACGAATCTCGTCTCTTACTTCGTAAAAATGTACAAATCGTAAAGCTCGTTTCTCGATCGTTTTATTTTTCAAACGAGTTTCCATTTACAGATTAGATCGAGAAAAACTTGTAGTTAGATTTTACGAAGTCCCTCGACGCGTTCAGCGGCCATCTCGAGATTTAATCAAATTCAAAGTGCTCGTCCTTGCCGGTAAAAAAAAAGAAACGGCTATTTCGAGTCATCGAAACGATTCTCGTCGCGCAATTTCTTTCCCTTCGGCGTTTGAAACCTTTGTAAGAATTAAGCCGCGCTTGTCTATTCATAAAATGTCCCTTATATCGCTCGGTTCGCCGAAGAGAATGGTTTTTACCGTCCATCGAGCGCGACCCCCGGCGCCTTTTGTGCGAAATCACAGGGAATAGCGCCTCCAACATTTCCCCAATCTCTACCCTTTTGATAGGCGAATTTTATTCTTCCCTTTCATCTCTCGTAAATAGACCGAACCCCCGTCTTTGTACGTAATATTGTTGATTTCTACGCCAAGGAATATCGGGGGAGAGAGAGAGAGAGATAGTTTCTCATCCGGCAGGATACCTCTTCTGCTAATGTCAAAGGTCAGTATTGTACGCCGACGACGCGTTGAAACGAACCTGCCACCGCGGTACAAATTTCTATTTAATCTCACGTGTAGATACCGTGTTTCAGACGTTTTGCCAGTGACGGATGTATTTTTGGAGCCTGGAGCTCATTACGTCGATAAAGGATTCCTTCTCTCTTATCAAAGTATTAACGATAAGCTCGCGAATATCACGTTTTCAACCCGGAAATTATTTACGTAAAACGCGGATATATTTCAAGAACCAAATGAATTGTTTTTCTTTTCCTAGTAATGTCTCTTCGTTGTTGTTTTTCTGATCTAAACCGTGTACTTTACTCCTTCGCCGTATCATTAGCTTCTCCTTAGTTCGCTTTCCACTTCTAGTTATCGACTATATTTTTCTCATTTTTTATCCCATTCGAGGCTGACGTCAGCTACTTTACAGCGTAACTGTGACTAAGCTATAACTATATTATTTGCATAATTTTTTTTTTTTTACTTGTTATTGGACTTCGTACACTCTTCGTAGAATTCGCAAAAACGAGTATTTACATATAAAATATGAACAGTACCGATACTCGACAGAATTAAAAAAAAAAAAGGAAAAAAAATTAAAAAAAAAATGCTTCATACATCACGTAACCAATAACCACATTTCATTCTCTGTTTCGTGTTAAGTGGGCTACTGCAGAGTCGCATAAATTAAATGGAACGAATTTAAAACAACGACCGGAGTGACGTTATTTTTGCTCCTGGTGGCCGATTACCAACCAATTTCCCTCGACCCTAAACTCCCGTTCTTTTTCTACTCTGCTCTATTAAAAAAAATAATAACAATAATTCTCGGAAGGGCGTTCAAAAGACGTTCGCCGGAACCCGGCCCCGCGTTTTCTAAAGGGTCCCGCGGTCTACGAAAATTAATCAATTAAAAGGCACCGATTTCGATTAACTTTTTACGGAATGACGATACCGTTAACAAATGGTAGCAATTTTTGCCGAGATGCAAGACATTTTTTTAGTAGCGATGATCAAATCGAAAGGAGTAACAAAAATCATCAAAGTATTATTATTTAATATTCGTCTTGCAAAAAATACATAGCATTTGTAAATAAATAATTCCTCGTTGCGAAATTTAAGTGCAGGATTCGAATGTGAATTCAGGCCCCGCAAAATTGTTGAACCCGGCCCCGCGAAAGGTCACGCTGGCCCGAGAAAGAGGTGTCGCGCGACAAGGTGTCGCGAAACAAAGAAAGAATAATAAAGAAAGATCGTCGCGTCGACAAGCGGCGCGCTTCCCACATTCGTGGCTGGAATGTAACGGTCATTTTAATATCGTAAGATACGAGGCCCTTGGGATCCAGCCGTGTTGGAAACGAATTCTGAATCGTCCGACGGGAACGCGTGCATCTCGGACGACGAACGGTGTCTAGTCAACTGTAGTCTCGCCTCCGTGGGAGCTCGGTGGTGTTATGGCGCATCTGGTCTCGCGTTTTCTTGCTCGCTCGGGGATCGATCAATAGACTAGAGAGGCGGCGGAGGCGGCTAACGTCGGCTGTCCAGCCAGTGACGGCTTCAACAATTTGCATTGCAAATCACTCGTAATTAAGAACCGAGTGAAATTGCTGGAAATTCACCTCGCGACATCTCCGGTGTTTCTGCCGGTACGAAATGCCATCTGCATCTTCCCTGACATCGATAACGACCTCTCCATTAGGCACGTTATTCTCCGATACGGACAACTTGTGTGAATCGCAGCCTGCGAAGATGTTTTTCGGTCACGTTCATTTTTCCGTCGCGTAACATCGCGGAGATTAGGTTGCAGTAATTAATCAAATATCGAAGCGTAAATGTAACTGTTTCATTGTCTAGGGTACTCGTTGCCGCGGTACTGAGCAATTTTCACTCCTGGGTTTCGTTCGTTTTTGTATCTCCTCGATGGTGTAATGATCCTTTATTTATTATGAAGATATTGAAATTGGTATTGTCACATAAACGTGAACTTTAATCCATCGTCTATTTGCTCGCGATACGTATCATTTCACAATGAAATACATTCGTATGAAGTGTATAGTAGAATACGATACAAGAATATAATAACGTAACGAATACAGTGCCGCAATATTGTCACTGGCTAGCGGGGTCCTTGAGGCTGAAGCAAACTATTTAACAAGCTTCTGAATACCTGGTTATAGGTCACCTCCCTTCACAATGCTGAGAAGGCTACAATTACAGCGGGACTCGACCAAATTAAAAGTGGCAGTTTTGCTTGTTTCCAAAGCTGTAGAAACAAAGTTTCTTTCGTGCACTAATTCTAAAACTAATTTTGGTAATGTACCATTAATAACTTGTATATATATTATTCGTACGCTACTGTATCGATATTTATTCTGACTTTTTCCATTTAGTTTAACTACAAGGTGTCCCAAAAATGTTGTAACACCTTGAAAGAGGTGATTCAGGAGGTGATTTGAAACAATTTTTTCCTTGGCGAAAATGTTGTCCGAGGCTTCGTTAAGGAGATATTAATGGAAAACACTGACCAATCAGAGCGCGAGAATGCCGGTGGAGCGTAAGCTACGCGCTAGGCGGCTGCGCTCATACGCTACCGCGGCCGCTCCACCGGCATTCTCGCGCTCTGATTGGTCAGTGTTTTCCGTTAATATCTCCTTAACGGAGCCTCGGACAACATTTTCGCCAAGGAAAAAATTGTTTAAAATCACCTCCTGAACCACCTCTTTCAAGGTGTTACAACATTCTTGGGACACCCTGGAGATCATCGGAAGTCTCCCATTGTGAATCACTGGACTAGGGAGATTTAAGGGTGCGCGCCCTTACGCGACGGCACTGCGTCCGGATCGCTGGGTCGCGGGGGTGGCAGGGGACGCTCCGATTGGTCCAGCTCGATTTCGTGGCTTCGAGAAGTCGCGCGTACCTACGGACCCGCCAATCGGGGCGGCCTCTGGCCCGTCAGTCGGTGGCCGCACGTTGCCGACGTAACGTCGTGACAATTTCGTATCGCGCTCGCATCCTCCCTTTCGGCGAATGTTCGAACGTCTTCTTTTCAGTGTGCAGACTTGAACCGACCGCAGTCCGAAGGAAACGCACAATATCGTTTTCAGGCTTTCCACGATTCGTTCGTTGCAGGTTTCCTTCTTTACCCCGACGAAAGACACGAGTGTAATATTTCGTTAACCATGCGTCTGGAACGGTGTGACAGTGCAAAGTACGCGTAAAAAGTCACGCGCCTAGTGTCTGCTTCTCGAGCTGAACGGCGACACGCACGAAACGTGTTATCGAAGAAGGCATTCGAGAAACGTCGTTCGTAGATACGCGTCGAGTAGATGTTTCGATTGTAATCGTTGCCGTCCTCGTCGACTTGTACGGTTGCTGGGCTTCCGTGAATCAAAGTGAAACGCGGCTTCCCGCGATTTATCGGTACACGCCGGAAGGTGTGGCGCGAAAAGCACGGTGCAACGAGTGACGAGGAAGTAGGACGAGCGATTCCCTTGTCACACCGACCACCACCGATCTGCCCTATTTCCGTGATGCTCAAGGTTAAGGAAACCCCTTGCTCGTAAGTACATCGATGCGGCTGCCGTACGCGTTTTGCGTGCCTCGACGGATAATTAAGATGTAGTTGGAGCGGCCGGTGTCGAGCTCGTTGGTGATTCCGTCAGCTGGGTATTGGATATGGGAGTTCTAAATAATCAATTACGCTCTATATTAAAAGAGATAGATTTTATTTCTCACGACGGCTGCAGAGTTCTTTACGTTATAAGACCTCAGACTCAACTAACTAAAACTTCGATCCTAGAAGGAAATCAGGGTACTCTCATATCTCCCGACTGTTTATGTTTCGCGTCGCCACAGTTCGACTTTTAAAACAAAGTATCGACGGCGATACGTAGGAGTGAAACACTTCGGAGAACGCCGATTCAATTTTGAACAAAGAACAATAAGTTCATTCTTAGTTAAACGAATTGATAATCGAACACTGGGCTCGTCGAAAACGATTGGTCTGATCTGACAGGTGCGTGGCCCAATGTATACGTATACAGGGTGTCCCAAAAATGTTGGAGGTCCTTGAAAAGGGTGGTTCAAGGGGTGATTTGAAACAACTTTTTCCTTAGCGAAATTGTTGTTCGAGGCTTCGTTAAGGAGATATTAATAAAAAAAAGCCAACCAATCAGAGCGCGAGGATGCTGGTGGAGCGGCCGCGATAGCGATGGCTACGCGCTAGGTAGTCGCTCTCGTACGCGAACAAGTGACTCGGCGTGCATCGAAGGATATTGACGCGGCCGCTCAGCGCGTAGCCTTCGCTACCGCGGCCGCTCCAACGGTATCCGCGCGCTCTGATTGGTTGGCTTTTTTTTATTAATATCTACTTAACGAAGCCCCATCCGACATTTTTGCAAAGGAAAAAGTTGTTTCAAATCACCTTCCGAACCACCCCTTTCAAGGACCTCCAACATTTTTGAGACACCCTGTATATTACAATTCAAACGTGCCTTTGAAGTTTTTTTAAAAATTGTCACGAACTTTCTAGACAACCTAATAAATATGAGTATTTTATGGGTATACCGACGGAAACCGTATTCCTTTTCGCGGAACCGCTTAATTAGCATTCCATAGTTCATGAATTGCTTATGGCTTCGTGCGCAACCCAATATCAGCGTAACTGTTAAACGGTAATGAATTTTAATCGAGCAAGTATATTAAGGAAACGACGAACGTAATGTCACAGAAACAAAGTAGCATAATCAATATTATGTAATATAATGATATATTAAATTAGAAGCAATATATCCAGGGCCGGCGCAAGGCAGGTTCAGCCGGAATCCGGTCCCTTTTTACAGGATGACGATTTTTAGTAGCAATGGTTTAGTTTAAAGGAGCGACAAAAGTCATCAAAGTATTATTATTTAATGTTCATCTTATAAAAAATATATAGCATTTGTAAATAAATAATTCCTCGTTGTAAAATTTAAGTGTAGGATTCGAATGTGAATTCAGGCCCCGCCAAAATGTCACGCCCGCCCTGAATATATCCGTTGCAGACACGCCAAACGGTGTCCTATATTTTTTAATCGTATAAGAAAGAATTCTAGATCGATTGACGCGGTCCTTGATCGTGGTACACAGAAACTATAGTTCGCTGACATTAATGATATTACTGAAATCGATTGCAACACAGTTGTTAATGCCCGCTGAACTGCCCGTGGCTGACCCCGAACGAGGATTAGCGTGAAAACTTGCGGTAGAAACACAGCGATTCAGCATTTGACGTGCTTCAATTAGAGACTGCGAAAATCAGTCGGACGATGCTCAGGAAGGCCTTTATAGTCTCCAAGATAGATACAGTCCAAACAATATTTACTAGTTAAAATAATTTGTGAAATTTAAAAAAAAAAAAGAAGGTGGGTAAACGTATAGAAGCAATAAGTATTTGTACGATTCTTACGACGAACCATTTACAGTAGAGTTTGTAACGTAAACGCATTAGTTTATTGCTTCGTACGAATTAGAAAATATTGAGTTTCCGGGAAGGTACTTAAAAAAAAAAAGGCTTTAATAGGGGAATTGATGAAGATCCCACTTCGAATAACTAATAATTCAGTTAATTTAACGCTTAGAAAATTTGCAATAATTATAAAATCAAAAGGAAATCCCACGAAGGAAGTATTATATACTTGTAAATTAATGTAAATTTTTTTTTCTCTTTTTTTTTTTAAGTCAAGTGTTAAAAATTAAACAGTCGTGCGAATACTTATTGCTTCGATATTTCTATCGATTAATTGTTTTTTTTTTGTTTTTTTTTTTATTTTGGTCAATTTCGTAACTTACATAAATAGCTATTTTTTTGTTGTCGTACTGTATGTGTCGTAGTGATTTCCGAGAATATGTCATTGCTTATAAAAAAAAGGTTAATAAATTACAATTTTATATAGTTTTTTTTTTTTTTTTTGAGAATTGATCGACGTACGAATACTTTCTACGCCCACTGTATGTATATCCAGAATCAAATCCAAAGCAACTGGATAATACGATACACGGCGTTGGCCGATAACGCTCGATAACGCAGTTGAAAGTTGATCGAATCGCAGGGACACGTAATTCGAGTAACATCGATCACTGTCCCCGAGGGAAATCTTGATAATGTAACTTTATCCGCCTCGTAACGTGTTCTTTGTGCGTTCTAACGCTTTTCGCTGTTACTCTTTTCTTTTCAAGGAGCCCGTCCACGTTATCATGAAGTTGAACGGGAGAGAGGAAACAGGAAACTTGGGACGACGAGCGTCTTTCGCTAGATCGGGTGGAAGATAAATAACATCAGCGAAAATGTTGATAAAAGAGTATCGGATACCGCTGCCTCTCACCGTGGAGGAATACAGGATTGCTCAGCTTTATATGATCGCGGTAAATGTTTCAGGGATTGCACGCGATATCGTCGGACGACCGTTTGCCGGCAATTAGAGGATCACGTTTCGTGGAGATTGGATCGAGAGCGATTAAGAGGAGTTTGTAATGATGTATACTTACCACGACCGTTGCCAAGATTTACGTTCCAATGGAGATCCTCGTGATATCAATTCTCGATAGTTCGATTTCGGTTTGAAATATTAACCGTATAGTACTATTCATGTGACGTGTTGGAATAATATTAAATCGAATTTGAGTTATGTGTGATTGCCATATCAAGTTAAATTATTATCGTCGAATAAACGTGAGCTTTGATATACCGATTATTGGTTTGTGATACGTTCTACTTTACGATGAAGTTATGTATAGCGGAGTACGATGCAAGAATACAATAAAGTAACGAACATCTAGCAGCAATATTAATGTCAAGCTTTTCATTGCATCATCCCGAGTACTATAGAAACTTGTCGACCGCGTTCGATTCTACAGTTCAATTATTCTTAATCTCTCTTTTCTCCCATTTTATTTCGACGTATCGAGCGTCAAACACTTTTGTTTACTTCTTTGCCAACCAGAGGGGAAAATTGCAATTCCATTCAGGGCGGTTTCATCGAATAGGGTTGCTGGTCGGCGCGGCGCGAAAAGAGGTCAGTTTTCGGCAAATATCATGGGTCAGCACACAGCATACGATTGCACTGACTGACTACCTGACTAATATACCATGTCGAAGCTCTCAAATTATTGGCTGCCTTGCACAGCGATATAGTCGTACGAGTAAGTGATCCTCTAATTACTCAAATTGCCAGAAACGAACGATTCTATTAACTGGTGTTAATTCGATGTACTTGGCGTTAAACGCTTCATCGTGTCTGAATGTATCGAGACTCAACATTTAATTAGTCGTTCAACGACGTAGGGAATAGGCAATTAAAGATGCCGAGCCCGAAGCATCTAGATCAGGCCTAGATCTACAGGATGTCCCAAAAGTCGGGGAGGAGCCGGAAATGGAGGGTAGCTGAGACAATTCTGAACAACAATTTCCTTTGCAAAAATGTCGGATGGGGCTTGGTTAAGGAGATATTAAGCGAAAACGTCGACCAATCAGAGCGCACGTAGACCGGTCGAGCGGCCGCGGTAGCGAAGGCTACGCGCGCTCTGATTGGTCGACGTTTTCGCTTAATATCTCCTTAAGAAAGCTCCATCCGACATTTTTGCAAAGGAAAATGTTGTTCAGAATCCGACTCCTCCCCGACTTTTGGGACACCCTGTATGTAGATCTCGGCAAGATCTGCACTTTTCAAGCCACAAGGCACTTTCACAAGCCCCGCCCAGCCAGCCGGCCCGTAGCCAATGACCTGGCTGGAGGCTCAGGACCGTACCACCGTCACCGGTACCTCGTGAACATATTTTTAATAGTTTTCCAGGGGATACTCTGGAATCCGTTTTAAAAATACGTTCGCAAGATCCCGGCGAAGTGACACGGTCCTGAGCCTCGAGCCGGGACGTTGGCTTAAAGGGAGATCGAGAAGGCGTGGTTTGCCGAAAAACAGCCGAAAAGCCGTTCATCTTGCCGAGGCCTGATCTAGATTGTCGTATACGACTAGAGATCACGGTTTTCAACGGGTATTAAAATACACGGAAAACGTGTACCGTGTATTAAGGGATTAAGAACACGGGTATTTTGAATACACGGGTAACCGGGTGTCGAAATACACGGACATCCAGGTACGTGCACGTGCATCGAAATACACGCGTACGTGTACATCGAATTATCTATTGTTACCCGTGACTTGAATATTTATTTTAACTAGTTGATAAAGTTTTACAAATTATACTATAATAAAAAATGTATTCTATTATATTTATTCTTCTTATGTTTATGTTATATTTATTTATTTATTTTACCGGATATCAATTTTTTCCAAATTAATAAGGATCATTATTTTAGAATAATAGCATCCTTATACGAAGGTTCGTATATAAAAATAATTGGATACTGTACCCGTGTATTTCGATGCACGTGAAGTAGGGATCTCTGTAATACGACCGACAGAGGAATAAAAAGAAATTTCAGATAAATGTGTTTGAAGTATTTGCCTTGTATCGTTTGCAGAAAAAATCTCGCGTAGAGAGCCAAGGAGCGGGCAGCGGTGTAGAGATCATAGTGAACGAACCTTACAGCAACGGACCAGGTGGAAATGGACAGTACACGCATAAGATTTATCACGTGGGACGTCATCTCCCGGAATGGTTCAAGAGTTTGTTACCTAGGTCCGCCTTGATCGCCAAGGAGGAAGCATGGAACTCTTATCCCTATACGAAGACACGTTACACGTCACCCTTCGTAGAAAAGTTCTCCATCGAAATAGAGACGTACTATTTTCCCGACAACGGTTATCAGGAGAACGTGTTCAAGCTCAGCGGCAGCGATCTGAGAAACAGGATCGTCGGTAGGCGTTCATTCCTCGCGACTTTCCCATTATGACCTTTATCGATCGCCGAATTCAATTTCAGACGTAATCGACATCGTCAAGGATCAACACATGGGCGACTACGTGAAGGACGAGGATCCTAAGTTGTACGTGTCCCAGAAAAGTGGCAGAGGACCGCTCACCGAATCATGGCTCGAAGATTACTGGGCAGACGTAAAAGTACTAATCTCCCTAACGTCCGTTTAAAGGGTTTACCCTAGTTTCGGATTGTTTGAAAATTGAAGCAACCGATTGTAAAGATAACGCGACTGTAACGATGCGAGTTGTCAAACGACCGATTTCACAACATACACGGTCTGTCTAAAAAGGAACCGAACTTTTGCTATAAAAAGAAAAAAGTACAAGTAAAGTTTTTACGCACGTGTTTATTTCATTCATCTCCCTCGTATAATAATCTCCCTCTGCGTCGATACATCGTGTAGACCGCGTAAGTAACATTTCGAAGGACCTTTGCAACTCCTGTTTTGGTAGCCCGTTTAGTACGGCGGTTACAGTGGCCTGTATCTCCGAAATGTTGCTACAATGTGTCCCTTCGCCCTACTCGCCTGATTTGTCTCCCTGCGATTATTTTCTTTTCCCGAAATTGAAAATTCCAATGAAAGGGACACATTATAAAACAGGAGCTGCAAAGGTCGCAGACGGAGATTATTCTGAGTAAAATAAACGTGCGTGTAAAAACTTTACTTGTACGTTTTTTTCTTTTTATAGCAAACGTTCGGTTCCTTTTTAGACAGACCGTGTATGAGTAAAAAGTCTTGTCAACCTATTAACAACCGTAATTTATAACGGTTAACGGCAGTCGGGTATCGGTAGTCGATAACCATGCAGTAAGAATTCATTGTTTAGGGCAAGCAACAACCAACGCCGGCCGGGAAGTCGTTGATGTGCGCCTACAAGCTCTGCCGCGTGGAATTCCGTTACTGGGGCCTGCAAACAAAATTAGAAAAATTTATACACGACACGGGCAAGTATCGAACGCGTCTGTTTGTCTTCGTTTTTAAGCAGGATGTGTAACGTGATTAATTCCAGCTCTGCGGAAAACCATGCTGCGTGCTCACACGCAAGCCTGGGCCTGGCAGGACGAATGGATCGGTTTGACGATGGAGGACATCCGAGAAATCGAGCGACAAACTCAACTGGCGCTGCAACGAAGGATGGGCGCTGCCGAGGGTAGCGAGGAAGCCACCGAAGAAAATCAGGAGATGTCCGCTTCGAATGCGACTCCTCAGGACTCGGACGTTGCCATGACCTTAGCCGCGACCCTCGGGAGCATCGAGAAGAACGAGGACCTTCAGAGTCCGCCGAGCGTCAGGAAGTCATCCGACATACCCAACGCGAACACGACAGGTAGCTCTGAAGGCGATATCAGCCCTGAAGATTCGCCGACCGAAGTACCTGAACTTAGGTAAAAGTGAAAGTAAAATCAGGAACTTTTTCGCTTTGTGGTAACTCCGTTCGGCTTGTGTTTTATTTACAGTGGCTGGATCTGTTTCAGAAATGCTCCCGTTGAGGAGAAAGGTGAAACTAAGAAAGGGTGGAAGAATAAAACGACGGTGCATTCGCCCAGTTCGAACAAGAGCTTCGACATGCAGATAGCGAATTGGCGCATGGAGAGCATCGTCAGGGAATCCGAATCGGGTAGCGAGGACGAATTCTTCGATTGTCAAGGTAAAATGTCGATTCGTCTTGTGCAGCATGACGATAATTCTTTCTGAGATTTTACATTCGTATAAGTAACATTTGGCTTATGGAATTGGACGGTAAAGCAGACGCATCAGCGAATTTCTTGAACGCTGGACGTCTTACTTTTAAAGAATAATATGAAGTAAATAGTTCAACAAAGGTGAACGTAAGCGCGGTTCGTTCGGAAATTCGCATTTTGCGAGTAGAGTATACAGCATGAGCAGGTATTGACATTTTCTATTTATTTTATGTGTACCCTCTCTGTTTCTTTTTTTTTTATGTCGCATTCCACACTGCAGCTGGGTTCGTTATACCTATTATACGCGAAGGTAGGACACGTAGATGAATTCTTAAAACTACAAACACATTAAAGCGTTCGTTGGAAGATATATTCCAAGGATTAGAGATCAAGATTGACACTAGTGTTAGTATTACTTACATAAGTTTCGAAACATTGAATGATTGCATCTATGCCTTTGTAGATAAATGAAAACAAGTTTATCGTTTAGCGAGCAATTGTCTGTAAGTCTGATTAATTGGATGATAATAGACGGATGATACTATATGTATAACATCGAGCATGGATGTTCTAACACCGATTTTGTGAGAGCATGAATCAGCATGGCCATGGGCGATTCCAAAAACAGCAGATTCAATCTATAGTATTGTACTTCAATTTAATATAGCATAATGGCATCAGACTCCTTACGTTACTGTTTCCTGCTTCTTGTGACGTCTGTTCTAATCTGAGAGGGGAAGCATCCCGACTCATATTCTTCTATTTTCTCTCTTAACACGTGTCACAAATGTATAAAAAGGCACGATGCATAAGCAATGTTAAAATTTCTGATTACACAGAGGGCTTTGGAGATAACTCGTCATTAGCTAAATGGAGTTCTTTGGATCTTCTAGCAGAAGAGGAGGACAATACGTTCACTTCGCCCACCACGGCAGGCAAAGAAGGTAAATAATAAATGATCAGTGACCAAGGTGTTGAATTTTCAACTAATATTGACCACGTATTTACAGACGACACTATATTTTCACCTTCCTACCTACAACGGATGGCTTGTGAACGTAGCAGTAAAAGGTTGCAGATCTCTACATCGGCCAGCATCGATGTCTCGTGTCCAGCTTCGCCTCAACATTCGCCGACCCATCAGCCTTGCAAAACCACTGTACTGCTTATCGTGATGCATGCTGGAAGTGTGTTAGGTAATTAATATAAATTAAAGACGATGATCTTTTCACATGTTTGACGCTATGCATCGATATTCTAGACGCAAACGTTGACTTAACCGCAAAAAAGTCGGACATCACAACATTCAAAGGGGCCTTTGAGTCAGTCATGAGACAGCACTATCCCAGCATGGTAGGACATGTCGCTATCAAGTTTGTTTCCTGTCCCTCTATCTGTACCGAAGGTCTGGGTATCTTGTCGAGGTAAATCTTGAATAACAAGGCCAACAAATATTGACCTTTTCAATCTCAATTCATGGAAATCCGATGCGTTTTTTTTTCCAGTCTAAGTCCATATAGTTTCGACGTGTCACCTTCCTCCATGGACGCCCCTCAAGTGACACACGACACCATCCCAATTGGTGCAATACCATTGTTTGCTAGTTCCACTCCTGAGTATCAGGATGCAGTCTCGCGAGTTATAAACGGAGCCAATCAAGTTTACCACGAGTTCATTAAAAGCGAAGAGGGTCGCGGTTTCACGGGGCAGATTTGCTTTGTTGGGGACTCAGTAGGAGCAATTTTAACGTATGACGCTTTATGTAGATCATCCCACTCCAGGCATAATAGCGAAAACAATATTTTGAACAATCAAGGCATCGAGAACAATGAAGATGGGAAACACTTAGTCGCGCCTTCCCCCAGAAGAAAGTCTTCAAGTACAAGGTGAAGGGTTTATTAACACATATTTGACGAAGATCCAAAACCTTATGGTGAGGTTAACGTGTGTCTTCTTCTTTTGTCTAGCGATGGTCAACAGAGTTGTAAATTGGACTTTGAAGTGGGAGAGTTTTTCATGTTCGGCAGTCCACTTGCGTTAGTTCTAGCGTATAGAAAAATTTCTTTGGGCGGTGATAAAAATAGTAATATAAAAAGACCATTTGTGAATCAAGTGTATAACCTATTCCATCCTACTGATCCTGTAGCTGCTAGGTTAGAGCCATTAATCTCTGCCAGATTTTCTCTCCTTCCGCCCGTTAACGTGGCTCGATACCAGAAGTATCCGCTTGGGAACGGTCAGCCATACCATTTGTGTATGTATTATTCGTTCAAGATTAAGATACACTTAGAAAATTATGAAACTAATAAATGATGTATTTATTACTTTCAGTGGAAGCAATTCAGACGAATCCACAATTATTTACCGATGGTCTAAACATTCCAAACGTATCAATGTCTCAATTAAGGCGTCTGTCCGATATATCAATTCACAGTACGATGTCCGGTATGGTTGAACATGTTCCTTTACAAATAGTATCTAATTGTAAGTGAATTAAATAAAAGAAAACAAATTCATTAGTCTAAACTAAGTTTATACATTTTTACGTTTCGATGTTTAAATTTGAGTTACCTTTAAAAATAAAATAAATAGAAGACTTGGTTATATATCGATTGTCGCTTGTGTACAAATATATAGGCTTGGTTAAGACTGATCAATTTGCCTTCCTTTATTTAATATTTATAAAAGTTTACTTTCATTTGGAAAGTGACTTATCGTATTCAATCTTAATATCAGGTATTATAACGGTCTTTTATTTTCAATTTATTGCAGTAACGCAAAAATGGTGGGGCACAAAAAGATTGGACTACGCGCTCTACTGTCCGGAGGGTTTAGCAAATTTTCCCACGAACGCTTTGCCACATCTTTTTCATGCTAGTTACTGGGAATCTTCCGATGTAATCGCATTCATTGTACGACAGTTAGGCAGATTTGATTCACCTATACTTAACAACGAGGAGAAAGAATTAACTTGTTTCCGTCCAGGTCAACCTAGAGAAAAATGGAATAAGAAACGTACTTCTGTTAAACTAAAGGTAGTTTTTATAGATAGTACTTTTTAGATTTTTCCTAAATATTCATTTTAAGAGAATTTCAATCTCTAGAATGTTGCTGCCAATCATAGAGCGAACGACGTAATTGTCCGGGAAGGAGCACCGCAAGTGTTGGTTGCTAGATTTATGTATAGTCCAATCGATGTTATAGCTTTAACAGGTAAGTTAGATACAACTCCGCGTAATCCATGTATTTTAGGGACATCTTATCAGCATAATCAATTTTCACAGGTGAGAAGGTGGACATTCACATTATGAAGGATGCACCCGCGGGAGAATGGACGTACTTATCAACCGAAGTGACTGATAAGAATGGTAGAATAACATATAAAATACCCGATGACAAGGCATTAAGCTATGGACTTTATCCAGTTAAAATGATTGTTAGGTAATACCATTGATCTGTGTAAAAACGAATAGTACTATTATTGCGATATATTTAAAATTAAACCATCACATTGCAGGGGCGATCATACATCCGTAGACTTTTTCTTGACTGTGATTCCACCGAAAACAGAGTGTGTGGTATTTAGTATAGATGGTTCATTTACGGCAAGCATGTCCGTTAGTGGGAAGGATCCTAAAGTTAGAGCAGGGGCTGTTGACGTTGTCAGGTATATTTCAAACTGCAATATGTGAAAATAAATTTCCTCCCCACTTTATAGTTAACTAATCTAAGCGGTTTTCGTTCAGGCATTGGCAAGAACTGGGTTACTTAATTATTTATATTACTGCGAGGCCTGATATGCAACAGCAGAAAGTTGTTTCCTGGTTGTCTCAACATAACTTTCCTCATGGTCTTGTATCCTTTGCGGATGGTCTTTCGACGGATCCGCTTGGTCATAAAGCTGCGTACTTAAACAAACTCGTTCAGGTAAATAATCATCTAAGAATACCTTTGTTTTCACTGGTTTCTGATGATATTAAAATAATAGTTCTCTCTCTTTCTCTCTCTCTCTCTCACACACACACACGCATCCATAGGAGCATGGTGTAATAATCCATCACGCGTATGGCAGTAGCAAAGACATTAGCGTCTACACAGCAATTAATCTTAGGCCAAATCAAATTTTCATCATCGGAAAAGTACCAAAGAAGCACCACGCTCTGGCGACGATACTTCATGACGGTTACGCTGCTCATTTAACCATGCTACAGGCGCATGGAGGTTCGAGACCTGCTCAGGGTAATGCACGCATGGTGATCCCGAGAGGTCAGTTTGGTTTACCCGGACTAAATGCTTCTCTACGACGGAGAAGGTAAGCTATCTATTCCTTAAATACATTTGATGTGGATATTTTGTCTTGTCAGCTTACACCTTGTCGTGATGTGGGAATTTTTAAGGTAATAATTCATTCGATCCTTGCTATCCTCGACGTTCAGATGTTTCGGTCGCTGCAGAACGCTGGAGGTGTCATGCGTGTGCAATAAATGTTGTCCCCTAGAAAGAAGACACTCAGAGCGGGCGTAAGGCATTTCGGAGATTAATCAAAAACTCTATTGTCTGTACATAGATAACGCTGTATTTTTATAGCCGGACATACTGTGGTATCAGTATGAAAAATTTCAGTGAAAAAGTAGTTGTTTCAGAGGTAATCGATGTTGGTGTGATCTTTGCATTCGAAGCGCGCCCGAATCGATGTTAACTAAAACCCGTGTGTGTCGAGAGATTTCTCTATAAAACAATCGTAGACTACGAGAACAAGGTACATAAACCACGAATAATCTAAGTAGTCTTTTGGCATGGTATAATCCATAAGAATCTCGACACACGATATAGACCAGCGAATATCTCCGAAAGCTCTTCTCTTGTACGCGAAGAGCAACGCTAGGTGTTCCTTAATCTAGTGTTTTTCAAACTGGGATCGTTGGTTCATTACATTGTGGAATAAGAGAAATGAGTCTAACCTAACGTTAGTTAACCTAAAGCACTACAGTTCATAACACTACACATATTCATAAGAAAATAATTATTTTTTTATAACTTTATGAACAATATTTTCTACTTATAACATTTATAACTCTTCAAAAGTTTTTCTCTGTTAAGGGGATCTACTGGTAGGTGAAGTTTGAGAAACATTGTCTTAGTCTATATCGTATGTTCAGATATAGGAATCATTTTTACACGACGTCCGCTGTATACGTATACAGTAATAATACAGCAGTTCACTTTGCGACAACGTCCAATTTGAATTGAACAAGATTTCCGTAGTTACACTTACCATACACATCTATGATCTATGTACAGTATTGTTTCATCCATGTTGATACATGTCATCGTCATCTTCCCTTTTTCTTCTGTCGCTTTTTGCGTTAGAGTGACGCTGCATTTACAGATAGAAAGATAGTATTTTGATAAGTTCTGTTTTAATTGTAACCGTAGGCGTGCATATGTCCCTTAACATTTCACCTTGGATCACCGTAACTTTTCATATTCCAATGTTGGAGCGAACTTCACAACAACTAATTTTCTCTGTATCTCTAATACGTTTCTTCACTTTCTTTAGCTGCTAAATAAAAGGTTTGGGCAGTGTTTAAAGCTTATCAGTTTGTTCATTACAGGTACCTGTTATGAAGATATGTCTAGTCACACAGCGTAGCCGATATCGCGCTCTCGGCAAGAGCCGCAGCCATCCTACGCACAAACTTAATGTTTTATCTATCAGCCATGCATATGTCCAGAATTTGTGGTTAATCAACATATGAGTGTCTAGATGTACAGAGACTAAACAGTTTTTTCGTTACCTCCTGAAATGGTCTGATCTTTAGTGACCAAGGTAATCCAGAGCCCCTTACCGCTTGAAATCTGTTAGGTGGAATGTTTGTGTTACAGAAAACGTTGAGCTAGATCCACCACCGATAGACAAAGCATTTTTTTATTGGACAGATGTTCAGACAAATGTCCATTTAATTTTAATTGTCTCAGGAATATGCGTTTCATTTTTAATCCGTTATTCGACGTTCAAATCATTTATGTAATTTAGCTTATGGTTTCGTTTGGACCCTGTATCCTTTAACACATCGTTTGTATTCCAATTCGGTGGTTGATCGGGCTAAAATATCTGTTTGTACAAGAGATTAACAGCACGACTGTACAAGTAATACAACAAAATCTCTGACACAATGCACGACTATACATGTGAATGCCGTATCAAAAACACCACGATTCACGGACACATGGTGTGCCGTCCCTCGTTTTACAACTGTCTTTCGATACGCTTCTGACACAATATTCAACTGTCCTTTTTAGCTATGTATTGAACTTCTGCAGGCGGACCGGATACGCAGATCCTACAGCAATCGAGATCACTTTTTACTTAGAGCCAATCTTTTCTTCTTTCATGTTTCATTGTACTATTTTTTGTACCAAAGCAACTTCCATTGTAGAAGTTCCATGGAAGATAATTGCCGACGATGCGTGAAACAAGTCTTTACATCACTTTAATTCTGTCACTTTACATTATTTCGTTTCTGTTATTTTCATGCAATTATATTTATTTTGTAGTTAACGAGGAGGGATCTAACGAAGAGAACCTATGATATCAACGGGAAAGGGATAGTTGTCTTTCTCTGTCTGTAATATATTCGAAGAAAGTTAAACTGAAAGTGTTAATTCTTTATTCGCTGAAGATGAGAAGAAGATCGCTTCCACAATGGAAGGTGTGCTCAGACGCATATAATTATTTACTCATTTAAGGAATGTTCGAATAAACCACTCTGCATCGCTGTCATTGTAAATGGGACAGCCGTTTGTCTTCATCTTCATTCATTCATCTGTGCTTCTTATTCATGGAGATGTTGTATCACGTTTCTATCACGCTTTCAGTACAAACATCAAAACACGCTGCTAGCTCTTCTACGCTGTTAATCCATGTCCTCATCTGCTTCCACGTTCGGTGATCTACCACTCGTCTAGTTGATTCATGCGGTATATTTGTCACGATTCTATTAAAATTTTACCACAGTTGTATATACAGTTCAATAACGTTCGAGAAGATCCTTCATTGGAATACATTTTAGATTTAGCCTCTTAAATCGTAGTCGAATCTAATTATGTACAGGGTAACGTTTAATAATTAAAACAATAATTGCAATCAGAATTAGCAAGGTGGAGCAGGGACCACTGCAGACTTATTGCATACACAACGCAATGGAACCCTGATTCGATAAGGAGAACGTTAACTGGACATTTCTTTCTTTTTAACGCTAGGAACTTGAACGTTTGATTCAATTTCCTAGCACGGTTTGCGGAGAAACATCTACACGTCAAAAGCAGTTGTAATTTGTCTCTTCAGGCATGATTCATGATTAACCCTGCAGCTGATAGTGAATCAGACTCGTTTTACGCTTTATCCTGTTTGCCAGTTTTTGATAATTCTATCGTACCTTTAACATTGGAGGGTTGCTTAAGAGATTACGTTGTTCAGAACAATTAAAGGATTTTAGAGAGTACTACTACTTCAATGGTAACATCAAACTATGCTTACGCGTTTGGTAACAAGCAATCTTTTAATTATTCTGAGCAGCATAGTAGACGGATGACCCAGATTGACTAGCAGTACGTTATGTATGCACAAACACATACAATTCTTGAACACGTAGAGTTCTTGTATCGACTGTTTACTGATACCAACGAATTATAGCTCTTTCAGGCTGGCCAAGAGGGCAATATCGCAACCCATCCCGAGCAAGATGTTGTTGCCATTGGAGCGATCGACGAGCGTTGGCCCCTCAATTTCGCCGCAGACTGGGCCAGCCATCAAAACCACGGCACCGGAGAAACTCTGACGATTCGCGCGCTGTCGGTCATTCTTCGAATCCCGACAGTGAACGATCCACCTTCAATCACGAGGATAGCTCGGATAGCTTGAAACACAACTAAGCAAGACAAAAGTCACCGTACGTTTCAACCGACGCGTCCTCAATGATCTAAAGAAGATGATTCTACTTTGTTACTCCACTTTTATATCCTCTCTGTGTATAGCTGTAAAGTTCACGTCACGCAGTGTGCCATTTTACAAATTCAGCTCTGCGTTAGCTCAAACAAAATATTCTCGTGAAATTCTGACTGAGTCAAACGTAGATTTCTAACCGGTTTGATTCGGGTTGTAAGAGTTACGTTGCTACGTTTATGTATTATTTTTAAAAGAAACCACCAAGTAAATACCAGAGGATTTAATCTTTGTCGAATAACGATATTTATGATCTCGTAAAACCGGATTTTTAAAATAACATACTGTGCGTCGTGGCCGTCGTTTGCGACGGTCCACATGTATATAATGCAAACCGCGAAATCATACAGACCTCCTCCGAGAAGGATCTCTCCGATCGATCAACGGCTCGAACGTACGGGGACTATTTCCATGCGAAGACGATCAGTGACGTCGTATCGAGGATCTGCACGGTGTGATTTAACTTTTCTATCGGCGTGACCAGAGCTTTTTTTCTAGCGACTTACCGAACACTCTCTGTAAGCGTTCCAGAGATTCCACACTGACACGATGCAATAGGCGTCTTTTGCAAGGTGATCGAACACGATCAAAATTTTTGATAAAATAGTCGGACGATAAAGTGTTTAGTTCCTACTGTGAATGACGAATAAAAGTAAGCACGATTTCCTAGAGAAACAGCACCGTTTTTAGATTTTCGTTTCCGTGCGTCTCCCTCGATCGGTTTCATCATCCAGCAAGCGAACAAAACGTGTACGGTGATTAACTTTAGTATTCGGACACTTTACAATGTTTACTTCGTCTATGACGAACGATAGGGTTGCGATAAAAGTTGCAATCAGTCCGAATATTAAAGTTGCTGCGTGTACAATCATCTTTACCTTACTTTTTGTAGTTTATAAGGCGTTAACGAATATTTGTTGAAATTGTTACGCGAATCTCTTTGTTGTTATCGAGAACAAAACTGGCATTAATTGTGACATTAACTGTTAGCGGTAATTAATCTGTAAGTCCTGTTAGCGCTCTGATCCATTGCCAAAGGCTATTGGATATGTAATGCATGAATGTCGCGCCCAAGTTCCTTCGGTGCTATGTTATTTTCAACGTGCTATTCGTATCGATTTCTAAAAAGAACAGAAGGGAAGAGTATGTGCAAAAGTATAACACCGTTTTGTATGTTGTCTATTGAGCAGTTTCGTGGATACGTTAGGTGTTTTCCCGATAAACGTTGGTACAAAGACACTTCCCTCATATCGCGTAGTTCCGTGTTGTCGTGGCCGGGTATGTAAATACGACTAAAGTGGTACATAAGTCGCTGCAATGTTCATGGATAACGTTAGAATATAATTTGTTAGTTAGTTACGATCTTCGTCGACGGACGTGTGCTGTCCAGATGATAATAAATGTAGCTCCTGTCGCGTGAACAAACGGATAGCTCTGCGACGAAAAAAGCCGGCGTTAGCTACCGATGCGTTCTGTCGACAATTGTACGCTTAACATTTTCCAATTAGATGAACAATTATCGTCCACCTATCGGTCGAGGAAATGTAATCTAATTTTATAATCGGTAACAATTTGAATTATTGCATCGCTTATCGTTACGAGCAATTATTATGAGATAGTTACGTGGCACATTAGAAAGCTCAGCGATTCGATCTTGTATTGTTTAAAGCAACGGTGTTTAAAAAGTAACGCGGCTAAGAAGTGATGCGACTTGATTCTTTGAACCTCGCCAACACCATGGATGACGATGGTGAAATCATTTCTTTTTTTCTTTTCTTGAGCTAAGTATTTCGATAGCAGACGGAATTAGATTAATAATTAATTAACTCATCGTTGTACCATCATTGTTCCTTGACTGTTCCAATAATATCGTAGTCGGTCGAAGATCTGGCATCGATCTAGTCCTGGCGTAAATGGAAAGAAATAATATATTATTATGTCTACGCTGTGATGCGGTACGTGAAGCAGATTTATTAATATTAACCAAAATACTGACTGTTTGTATCGTTGTAAAGAGGCACGAGCGTAGTTCTATATACAGATATACGGTATACTGTGTAGGTATATATACATACGTCTATCAGAATGTGTCCGTTTACATGTATACACATGTATGTATATAACAGTGTGTATATGTATGTATAAGGTGTTTGAGAAGCGCGTAACTTTATTGAATTGTAGATGAAATCCTAGGAATACGAATGAGTTAAGTTTTTGCAACGTTTATTCTAAATTCATGGATCTCAAACACTTTTTACAATGTTTAGTTCGATGTGTAAACAATTACTAATGGTCGTTTTTGTGCATATCGAGAAGGTTATTCGTTGTCAGATAGATCATACATTATTATGCGTATAACCGATAAAGTTATTCGCGAAATACCTTATATATGTATGTATACGATGACGTTATTCTTAAGATATATTATATATTTATTCGTAGACGTGACTGCAAAGATATTTTACTTATACGGATGAACGATTATTATCACTGGTAATAAGAGTTATATTTTTGTTAGCATAACTTAAATGACATGTTGTAATAACTAATCAAGAGTCATTGTTTTATATTATGCGACCTCGCTCTAACATAACGATTGTTTTATATACCGTTGACTCGATTTTCTTAATCAGCTTCAGCTGGAAAGGATCTCAGATTATTGAATAGAACGCCTGACCGACAAAACTTGTATTCCACTTTCTTCATTGGGTATTACAATAAATGATAAATCATTGTCGTTTACATCGGACTCGGTTTATTATTGTTTAGTATAATCACAGTGTGGAAATTATTCCAAACTTAACCTTAAACCAAAGCTCCCGTCTGCCTTTATTAACACAAAAGTAAAAAATAAAGTTTCTTTATAAACATTTCTTAAATACATCTCTCTTAAAAGTGTTTTTAGAGTAGTTGTTCCAGAGAGATGTATTTAGGAAATGTTTATAAAGAAAGCATGCTATGAATTGTTCTCAATCTTACAGTGTGTTTTATTCAGCATATATACAAATAAATCCTCTCTGAAACGATTAAGCTTTTACAGCATCAACCTGCAGATCTGCCGAAACATGCATCTCTGCACTGGTGTGCAGAGAGGAGATTCATTCTTAAAGGGTGTGATATTATAGCATAATATAATTTAAGAATAATTGTATACATGTTGTTGTTGTTATGATATATATTATAAATATTATGTAAATACATATTTTTAAATACAATTGTTTATTAAAATATATTCTTCTATGCCCTAATATAATTCAAATATTTAATATAACAATATACGTTAATATCTGTGTAATAGAAGTATAAGCGAATTAAGTAAAAGAATTCTTGTCCGTTTGTTAAAAATTTGAGCTATACAATTTAATGGCAACCGCAACTATTGATAACCATATTTCTGTATTTTTTTAAAACAACGTTACTGTCGTCGAGAAAATACAGTACCGAAATCGATGATAGTTTCGTAGGTGCACAACAAGGTTTTGGTACCTCTTTTGGTTTCATAAGATGTACTAAAGTCTGTACAATGGCATGATTAGTTGCATTCACGTGAAGGTTTAGTGGAAAATTGCATTCTCCGCTACAATAATAAGCATCGTATCCTTCCGGTGCTATGATCCAATCTTGCCATTGAAGATCTTTAAAATTTACGTATAAAGTTTTCATATTACACGTATTCCTATTTCTTCGAACAACCCGACTGGTATAAGGATTATTTTTAAAGTTTATATTACGAAGATTATATTTCAGTTGATTGGTATCATCCTCCTTTTGTGTAAACGTTATATCACGTTTATTACGGTTGCCAGAATTTTTAAAAAAGCCGACCATAAATGGTTGTTTATGTGGAGCTCCTAAAACACCTACAATTCCTATATCTTCTGGTCTCATAATACGTCCTGTATAATCAGCATGATATACTGCTAAAAAGAAGCCACGATTTTCTTTTGGATATTTAACCCAATGTTCGAGGGCCACGCTAATATTTAATGTTATCCATCCTTCTTTACCTATTGTAGTATTAGCAGAATTTATGTAATGTTTAATACGTCCTCCATTTTTTGTACGGGCCACTCTATATAATGCTATTGCATAAGTCTTATTAAATTGAGCATTCATATTTAGACTTTGATACAGTCGTAGTTCGGCTGCAATAATACGTTCTCCTCGCGGCACTTCCGATACATCGAACCAGATCCTTTTTCCACGATTAGTTTTGGATGCATTACCTGAATGTGGATTATGAGCACCAAATGTCATAATCAGATCACTTTGGTCAATAATATTAATATCATGATTAGTTAAATTAAATTCATCCATATTGTTATGTTCGTCTTGAATCGATTTGTTATTGGATAAAATATTTTTATAAATATTCAGTAAAAACGTAGGCGCTGATCTTTTAACTAACAAAGCTCTGCGTGCGATTCTCTTTGGTCTCTTGGGTAATTCAAAAAGATTTAATAATTTATCCTCCACTTCTCGTTTTTGTTTCCGATTGGCCACCTTATGTAAAATTGTTTGATCGACTCCATTGTCTACATACAAACCACTTGATCTTTCAGAACTCGTAATAAATATTAATATTAGAAGAAATGGTATTACTATAATATACTTCTCGTACATTTCGTTTCTCTTTTAATTACATTAAGAATTACAATACTTCATATTTAAACGTAATACAAATTAATAATAATGAAAATTGTGTCTGTCCGCAAATATTTGTAGAATACGATTCTTAGCGAAATAATGTTTACAGTGACATAAGACTTTCATTGGCAGAAACGTATTTGTATACAAACAAAAACCACTGAACTGACTTGGTCGAGATATTATAATCTCTAGAGTGTCGGAAGATAGGATATCGTTACGCGATTAAATTAAAGAGTTAAGTTGCGAATAAAAATATTACATATAATAAAAATTATTAATATTAAATGATATATTCAGTAAGCTGTTTTAAATAAATTCAATTTAGAAATCTAATAGTACGTAATCATAATGTACAATTTTATTATAAATATTGAAATTCTGTTACAAGCTACATAAACAAATATCAAGTGTATTCATAGAATATTGTTATTTTGGTGGTGGTGGCGGTGGTGGTCGTATAGGATGATCTTGACGAGGACCTTTTCCCACAGGAGGAATGGATGCCGGTTTTATCGATAACAAGGAGCCAAATAAGACATGTTGAATGACAGGAAATTTTGCTAGAACCTAACATTCAAAATGAATAAATCTATATATTACTTTACTACTGCAGTTTTAGTTATGAAAAATGGTTAATTGTTACCTCAGCTTTGTACATTTTGATGAGACCATTATTTACTTTTGCCCATGATGAAACCGCGCTAACATTCCACAATTGGTTTGAATGTTCAGCAAATGGACCAATCTTTACCTAAAATTGAAGTAATTTTTGTTATATTTCGAATATAAAAATGTTTAATATTATCCATGTTTGTATGCGTATTGTACACATGTATACAAACCTTTGAAATGAATTCAATACAGCCGAGAAACATGTATTGCTTGCTATACAATTCAACAATTTCTGGTTCAACAAAATGACGAGGTTCCAAACGAGGATGCCCTGAAATATTTAATTTGTATGGATGTTTCTATAAAGAATACTAATACTATACAAATAAAAATATATAAATTAAAAATATAATACCAATTAATTGAGCACTTCCCCATACAAAAGGAATGAATTGGTAGTCGTCTAAACTCCAAGCACCATGACTACCTGCTGGTTCCATCCTGTATGTTAACTGTAATCTACGCACTAATTCAAGGTATCTTCAAAAACAAAAACGATTTTAATACATATTAACATATAAACTATTAAGCTATTACTGTTATATGATAAATGTGTCACCTATTAAATATCTTTACAACAACAGCAACTTTATCATCCTGTTTAAAAGCTCCAATTTTAAACATACAACATAAAAACATCAGAAATGCCATTTCATGACCTGTGCCATAATCTATACGAGTAGGATTACCAAAACTTTCGAATAAATACTGAACTATTTCTGGAACTGCTCTATGTAATTCTGATGGCAATACTTTTTGCAATTCTTCCACTCCTCTCTGAAATAATGCATATCAATGGATATTGAAAAAATTCATATGAAAGCAATCAAAGGTTATTTTTACTCACTTGCTGGAGCCTTTCGTGCCATAGCCTAAATGATTTGTTACCGAAACGTTGAGGTTGTTCAGTTGGAGGTATTTGAGTTATCCATTCATCAAATTCATTAAGCATTCCAATGACATTATCTATCACAGGGTTTTGTGAACATTCAATATTCAAGGCTTTCCCTTGAACAGACTCATTCAAGGCCAATATAAATCCCAAATATTCCTACAAATTCATTTCTACAATTACTTTCATACACTAAAGCTTTTATGTTAATTTTTATATACATCAAATAACAATAATTAACAAAAAAAATGTAAGAATTCTTACAAAATACGCTTCTGACTTTTCCCAAGTTGCCATGTCAGCCGGTACTTTGATGGATTTCTTTGGAACGATGAATTCGTAATCGTCCGCTAAAATATTAAAAATTGATTGTCTCATTTCGTTTTTGTAATTAATCGTTTCGTATCTACGTAGAATACGTACGCAATAACTGTGCATCTTTTACAAGTTCCTTTGAAGTTGACATGGTAGATTCAGACAGATTCAGAATGATTCACACTGCTTTCAAAAAGAGACGAATCTACGTATGTACTCGAATCATACACGTATAGTGCTATGAAACATTCGAACTTCACAGAGTATTGTAATCTATTAGGGCTGATTAGGGATAAATCACTTTAAAGTATCACGATAAAATCCACAGTCACGTAGAACCGTAGAAGTTTGCAATTCAACGCTATCGTGGATGATCGCGAGACTTAGGTACAATTTTCAAAGTATGCTCTTCTTCTACAATAAAAAAAAACTTCAGAAATGTAAAAACGCGTGATGCTCGACCCTGAAAATTTCAAATTTTAGAGAGCGAACGTGCACTTCACCATATCAGAATCGTACAACGTTCAAAAGGTTCAAAAGTTACTAGAGAATGAATGTTTTGTGAAACTGACAGTATAGTAACCTAAAAATTATTGTAGTAAACAAATTGAAAGAAAGAAAATCGTTGTGCTATGAAAGAACTGACAGTATTAACGTGTATTTATTCTATTATATTGAATGCGTAGTATTTTATGAAAAGGGAAGATAGTAGTTATATACATCAGGTACTTAGAACATTAATATAAAAAATATCACGATCATTCGCATTTATAATTGAGGTAGAAGAAAATTACAGTAAGAATTATCAACTAACTGTTTTAATGTTACCTTTTCGTATTTTAGGTATGAGTTATTCTCGGGAAGAAATAGAAGAAAAGCGTTTATTAGCTTTACAACGAAAGCAACAAACTCAAATAAAAACTAATTCTCCCCTTGACTTTACCAAAAGAGAAACCAATAGGCCATCTCCTAGTATTCTAAGTGATTCAAGCAAATCATTGAATGCAATTAATCCCTTTAGAGACAAACAGAATAAACATTTTGTTCACAAGGAAGATTTTAGAAATAACTCTTTTAAAAGTAATAGAAAATTTAATAAACAAAAGGAACGTTTTGATCCTATTGAATCAAAAAAATTTTTTGGGCAAAAATCATGTATAAAAGGAACGTGTTACATGATCAATGAGGAAAGATTTGCCTTTGAAACTTCATCATATTTACCTACTCTTATTGAAACTTTAAAAACAATTCCAAGCAGATCTTATGGTAATATGTGCTACTAATATATACATCATTAATTTAATATGTAAAGTTAAAAGACATAAGTATCATTATTTTTTATTTCAGATGTACAAACTAAAACTTGGAATTTTCATTTAAAGGATTACGAAAATTTAATGAAAAAAATTATTCAGTTCAAGTCTGAGGTACAAGTAATAGGGCTGCCAAAAAATGTTATTCAGGTATTATATTTAAATATAATTAGATCTTATTATCTATCAACCTTGGTGTTTTTAAATGTGTTTTTTAGATTTTTAATAAAAGTAACAGCTCAGATAAAACAGATGCAAAGATTGATTTGTCAGATATTGATCCTCACTTGTTGAATCAATTAATGCCCTTTCAACGTGAAGGGATTTGGTAAATTTATTTGTAAATTAATATATTAATATTTTTATATCATTTTTTCATAATATAACTCACATGTGCTTGTTTCATTTAGCTATGGGATATCTAAAGGTGGTCGTTGTATGATTGCTGATGATATGGGTTTAGGGAAAACTATTCAAGCATTAGGAATTGCACATTATTACAGAGAGAATTGGCCTCTTCTTATTGTTGTTCCATCTTCAGTCAGGTTCTGTAATAAACATATATATATATATATATACATATTTTTTAAATTTATTATATATATATTTTAAATTTATTTTAAGTTTGACTTTTTGTATTTAGATATCAATGGGCAGACGCGATATACACATTCTTGCCATCTATTCCTGCACATTATATTCTTCATTTTACAAGTTCAAAAGACTTTTGCAGTGACAGTAGAATTGTTATTACATCTTATGATCTTCTAGTACGAGCAGTGGACACATTTGAACATCGTTCTTTTGGCTTTGTTATTCTGGTAAATGCCTTAACATTATTTATTATTTTAGATATTTACATAATGGAATCTTTTTATAGGATGAATCGCACGCTTTAAAAAGCTTTAAAACTAGTAGATACAAAGCTGCGCAACGTGTAATTTCACAAGCGCGTCATGTTGTTTTACTTACTGGGACACCTGCTTTATCAAGACCCATAGAACTGTATACACAAATAAATCTCATAATGCCAAAATTTATGAAGTAATGTAAAATATTCATTACTTATGTCACGTGTATGTAAAAATATAAGAATTAAAAGTCATTTTGTACACAGATATGAAGAATACGGAATTCGATACTGCGCAGGAGAAAAAAGTTCGTTTGGATGGGACTTCACGGGATCATCAAATATGCAAGAATTACAATTATTATTAAAACACACATGTCTAATTCGAAGACTGAAAAGTGATGTAATGAATGAATTACCAACAAAAACCAGGTGAGTAATACATCGATATATTTACGTCGATATATTTATATTTATTTCTTTAAATTTTAGGGAAGTTGTTATGCTAGATCCAGATTTAATAAAAGTTGGTTCAGCAGAAATGGTAGAAATGTCCCAAAAGATGGAACGAAAAGTTTTAACTGGTATAGAAAGACATACTGCTCTTTTGCAGTACTATAATGAATCTGGTATTGCCAAGCAAAAAGCTATATGGTATGGTCTATTAATGGATACGAAATTTTATCATTGATTATAATTTTTATAATGCTTATATTAACAATGTTTCAGCGATTATATTTCGAAGTTGTTAAAAGATAAACACAAGTTTCTTGTTTTCGCCCACCATCAATCTGTCCTAGACGCCATTTGTAATCTTATACAATCTATGAATATAAAGTAATTATGCTATTTCCGCGTATAGTAATTATAGCTGTAAAATTGTTTCACGAACGCGTTATTTACATTTTTTTCAGATATATCAGAATCGATGGAAAAACCAATCCCGAATGTAGGAAATTTCAAGTTGATAAATTTCAAGATTGCGACGATTACTTGGTAGCGGTTCTCTCGATAACAGCAGCAAATTCAGGGATTACACTAACAGCTGCACAACTTGTAGTTTTCGCAGAACTGTTTTGGAATCCAGGGGTATTTATTGTTTATATTATTCATTATGACAATTGTTTAAATTTTGGTTTTATTTAATAACAATGTTTTAATAGGTACTGTGTCAGGCAGAGGACAGAGTACACAGAATTGGCCAAAATGAGAATGTTGTCATTCGGTATTTAGTTGCAAAACAAACGGTAGATGATTATTTGTGGCCATTGATTCAAAAAAAGATGAACGTATTAAACGAAGCTGGACTCAATCAAGATTTTTCTTTGCACAACATAAATACTATGAAACATGCATTAAATACGAAACAAACGACGTTAGATATCTTCAAAAGCAATGACCAAAACCATTCCAAGACTGATGAAGAAATAGTACAAAGTAATGAAAGTAATCAAAATGTCTTGCTAGAAAATAATTCTTCCATGGCGTTAGAGGAAGTTGATGAGTTGCTTGAAGGTGACTTTAATTTTTGTGATTGGGATGAGATGGAGTAAAGGATTTATTTTTGTATGGAATGTAATAACGTTGTTGATGTTATGTGAAATGTATGAATAATTATTTTGTAATATATAAAAAATGAAAGAAATTTCATAAAAATTCATTGTAAGCACTTTATAATAAAGATCCTCATTTTTCTAATAAAATAATTGTATTTTCGATTCGAATTATCAATAGCGCAAACTGATAAAACTAGGTATACCATAGTTATCTAATTCTATAAATAAAATTGATATCATTTTAATGTCATACCTGTGATTGGAATTTTATGACAACCGTAATACATGTATACGAACCTTTAGTCGCCATTGCTTACTTGCGTGAACATAGCAATAGACTATGCTTTGAAATTTGCCGCAAAAACGATTCTCCTCGGTGCAGTATTCTTTTCAAAATTAATGTTTGCCCTGTGGTCTGTGGTTTAGAACAACGAGAACCTCGTTTATACTGTTTATAACAAAGATACTAACAATGTCCGTTTTTAACGCGCAGAAATTTTTAGGCGCATTGTACAAACGTTATATAATTTCATTGCCATCGATAAACTTATCTAGAACACAAAAAGCAAGTATTCCTTTTTAAGGTTAGGATAAATATATTTACATTCGATAATTACCGTATTACGTAATATTTAAAAATGATAATTGTTTACTATCATAACTACGTTATCGTTGTTAATAGTCTGGGAAACATTCAAGCATACATTTCACATGACACTTGTTCAAATCTGCTACACAACAGTTTCTTATACTTTGTATTTTTCCTTGTAGATTTTTATTATTTGTCTCACCGGAGGATCGTTACTATTAGGAGGTTTGGCTCAGTTTTTAAAAAGACGACGAAGACATCCTCTTCCTCCCTCGAGAAGACCCTTAAGAGATGGAAAACAAAGATTTGCAAATGCAAAGAATTCAAACTTTGGTAATTTATGATCATAAAATATGAAATTATAAGTAGATGTAAACCTAAGTAGTGTAAGAAGATAATAGAGTTAAAAGGTTAAAGAAATCATAGTCAGTGTATAGTTTAGAAATGTTAATTAACACTTCATCTGCTGGTCCATTCGGTTATGAATAGATAACAATGACTGGGAGCCTATTGCACAGGAATGTAGGTATTACGATAGCCTTCTGTTTCCTTGTTTACAAATTGCCAACTAAAATTATGGTTTGTAGATTTCAGTTGGTAGGCCCTGGAATTAAAAAGCCTATTAATAGGCTCCCGGCAGGTAAGGTGTTAATATAAGATGAGATAATTGAGGTGTAGTGTAAGAAGGTTTTTTTCATTTGCATAGATGCATTGTCACAAGTATCATGGGCAAGAAGAAGCGAAGCTAGCAGTAGGAGTCACATAAGCGACCGAGCATCGCTTATATCCTCTGTTCCAGGAGGTCCAGATGGTGATGTAAGGCTTACTCCACAACAATATGGTGTTCTTGGTAAGTTAACTTTTCTGTAACTGTAGCATTACCTTTTATTTTAAAAAGAAGAACATAAAATTGATACGAAAAGTAATGACTTTATTAACTTGTTAATTTTTCTAACTCTTCTAAAATAAAAAAAAACTGTTCTTTTATTACTATAGAACTAAATACTTATTACACTAATTTGGGGGATATGAAGAAATAATTTTATTTAAGAAAAGTAACAATGTAGTATACATTGTTTAACATAAAAAATATTATATCATGAATTCATAAATTATTGAAGATTGAATACATTTTTACATGTATATATATATAGCACTTATATTTACATGATAATGTACAGCATAGTAGATTCTTCACAAATAATATATTTTTTCCGGATGCAGACAGTAGTAGAAGCTATGAATAGTCCTTGGCATTACTAAATTCACTTGTTTGCATTGTAGTATTTATTAATATCTTCTCGAAGGTATACAGGAGAATGAAGAAGCAACTAAAAGATAAGCAGTAATTATTACTTTCCAAATATAGATTTTTCTGCATCTTCCTTCGTTTTTTTCGTAATTTTATCCTGGAAACTTACTATTCAATTATTTTGGGCCACGTCCATCACATCACTTTATTCACAATGAGAAAATATTGCTCACAATATTAAACATCATATCGTATCTTGCATCTTCTACCTACGTTTGCTTCTGTTTCATTTAAACACACAACATTCTAAAACTCGCATGTCCCAATCTCGCAACAAATTATTGCTTTTTATGATAATTAACAAATTATTTAACAGAATATGTCATATTCCTTTATGTCTACGTAAAATTTTACTGAATATCACAATGTTGTGATTAGGCTTACTTTGATAAATGTTGTTAGAAACTCATGGACATCTGTTTGTGTTCAAAATGAATGTTTTATATTACTTCTATTGATACTACGATATATTAAAATATGATAATTATATAATGTTATTACCATCGTTAGGAAAAACTATAAACGATTAAATAAGTTTACAATAATTACTCCTAGTTAGAATGTAGAAACATGTTATATACATACCAATAGTTGAAGTAAAAATGATCAGAAATACAAGAATATACGAAAATATTTTCTTAGTTATGCTTTTAACTAAAATCGTTTAAATTAGACAGAATTAAATAAGTCCATATTTCTCTTTCACCTATCAAAGAAATGTACCTTACAAATTATTAACATATCTATACAAATTAAAATACTGCATTCCTTTGCCGTTATAATTTCGTTATTAATAATCTTCTAGGAATCTGCAAGCCCTATCACTTTACATGGGAGACAGATGGGTACACAAAAAAACACTGTACTTAATTGAAAACAAACTACTTTCAGTAGTTTAGGAATGTGGCTTATACTTGAGACTGTTCTGTTTTTACTATTATTATTATTATTACTACATGGCAAATCCTATCAAAAATTTACATCGGTTCGCATAAATGATATTAAAATAGTTTTGAAAAATACTTGTACCCATCCACCTGTACTCTACGTATTCTTACTTGCTACACCTTTATAAATCTTACAATTTTCTAAAATTATACTGCAATCTCAAAAATATATCATAGCTGCATCAACTCGCACATCTCTATCCTTCATTTTCATTTTCGCTTTCATTATAAGCTATTTGCCCGAGATAATACCTGCAGTAATTATAACTCTCTTTGAATACGTTTCTCAAAGAAGATATCATCATTTTCAAGCTTTTAAAGTCTTCTAGAAGATCTAGAATTACACTTTGCGAAGGCATAAAATAGTTAGCTGGAAAAACCGTTCACAGCAGAATTAGTAAAGACGGAATGTGATATAGTTACATTCAGTTATTCAACAATAGAGGTAATGTTAACAATTCTTCTGTTAACATTTACATTGGCTGCAATCGCTTGTACTTAACATTGTCATGAGACTAGCTCATTATTAAGGTATTTCTTTGCTATCCTAAACGTGTATATATATATATATATATATATATTTTTATGTATATATATATAATATATTATATATTAAATATCAAGTTTTCTCGAAAGGCAAGCATATGTCAGTGCTGATTTCACAGCCTGACAATCAGCGATTTAACCAAGGAGCTTTATTTCGTGCCATAATTACTATGTACGAAATTACAGCAACATTTCGTTTTCATTTCATTTTTTTTTTTCTTTTTTTTTTCGTAATTTTTCTTCAATATTGTTCTACGAATATATTACTATTGCAACTTAGGATTTAGGATTTTTTAGTCGTATTTTCACGTGTTTCTATGAACGATAATCATTAATAACGGTATAAGTATCATGTTTAATCTGTGTAAACACGTTCCGGAGTGCGAAACGTCTACCTTGTTTTTAAGCGACAACGGTCCACCGTCGTCGCTTTGCATATTAGACATGTCTGATTTCTTCGGAGGTATTATCATGTTCTCGTCGTGATCCTCGTTATCCATGTATCGTCTAGACGAGTCCTTGCTCAAGTCTTGAGACATTGGAGTGGTACTCGGTGCTGGGGTAGTGGGCGGTACGGTAGTGGTAGGAACTAAACTATAATTGCTTAAAAAGTAAATAGGTCCGAATTCTGGTTTTACGTCGAACATAGTTTCTTCTCGACGAATCCCGTTGATCACGCGGGATTTCGTTTCGCCGTCCTCGTAATGGGAAATTAATGTTCCAGAGTAGGGTACGTCCATGTCGGTGTAATTGGCTTTTAGAGTAACATTGATTCCCGTACCAGGTTCCAGGAATACCTCCACCCTATCGCAGATGATGGAATTAGAAATAATAAGAAATTCAGCTCCATATTTCTATTCATATACTCACGTGTATACATCGGTGCGATTATTTGTCTCCATTAAGCCCCAAACTATTTTCGGTAGGACTGTTCCATTCGTCAATGTAATAGATGTATTTAGGCCTTTCAATATAGCATGCCCTTGTCCCCAGTATGCAGAATACTCATACGTGTATCCAAAAGCTTGGCCCATGTTCGCAGCTTCCGGTCCATTATTGGAAATCGTCGCCTCCCCGAGTATATGGGGGATGCGTTTAATCACGCGCTTCTTAGGCCAGGTTAATTTTACTCTCGTCAAATCATAGTATATCGGTTCGGTTTCGACGAGAACGTCGCCGTATTTTACGGTTGCCTCGGTACCATCCTAGTACAAAAATACATAGTTTGTTTTTCCATCGAACACAGTCTCTTTTCCTGTCGAAGAATTATCTCCTCGGCTCGTTAAAAGTTTGTAGCTCTTAGATTGCTGCCGAAGTTTTGTTTGTTAATAACTGGGGGTTGATCGGTGTACTTACCTCGAGTACGTTAAAAGCAAGCAACCATTAACTCTTTGCGGCACAGGAATTCGGGTCATAAAATAGACCCACGTTGCGCAGAAATTTGATTGCGTTTTAAATCAAACAGAATCGTTATATTTTTATTAATAAAGGTATCGCACATGCAGCTATTGCAAAATTCCGAGGTGGGATTAAAAATGTTTTAAATTTTGACCCCACCACGCATTACGGTCCATGAAAAAGGTGGGCCACTTTTAATCCCACCGTGCCCCAAAGAGTTAATCTCTTAGGAAACGCGTTAAAAAAAACCCCCGTTTCCACACAGTAAGCAACGAAATATCGTGTGCAGCAATTACTTACGTCTCTCACGTAGCTGATGGTCCCAAGATTGTCGTTTGAATTCAAGGTTCCGATATAATGGGTGTACCTCGGCGCGATGCCCGTCTCCTCGTCATTGTGAACCACGTGGCGCGCCACGAACATCTTTTCCGTAGCAACGGCTCCTATGGGAGTCGGCTTGTATTTGTCCCAGTGTTCCCAGTTGACGCGGGCGGCATTGTCCACGTTTTCCAACAATTCGTATTTGTCGTACGACTGCACGTTCCCGTGAATCGTGACGGTGCATCGTTTCTCGTCGCCTCTCTGGCTTCCAGCCACCCAAACGGTGGTGTGCAGCACACGGCACACGTACAACGCTTTGTTGTACGACTCGTCTGCAAAACGCGACATTTACAATTATCGAGAACGTCGTCAGGGTTGGAGGAAGCGAAACAACTGCAGGGACATCAACTCCAGACATTCAACGAGAATGAAAACACTCTTTTCTGCAAATGTACGTTAGTTTCCTTTACATGGTCGTTACTTCAGACTTTCTCTCTGTGCTTCCCTTTATCGTCTCGACCGTAGACACGCCGTTCTTCGCGCGACAATTGCAAAGACGATAAATGAATCGCGACTAGACTGCGAATTTTGTGCGTTCGTTTGATACAATTTATCAGGAAAAGAACGATGCAAATGAATGTACCGTCTAAATAAAAGAACCGTCTTTTTCCTCGAGTTCCACAGCGGAAGATACCTTCGATGCTAGAAGGTGAGTCGGTGTCCCGTGAATGATAACGAAGCGAATTCGATCGCTGACTCTTTGTATAATAAGGTGTTACCGATGCGAGTATCGAGTTAAACCGTGACAGATTTAGGTTTCCGGTTTCTTTTTAAACGCGAAATTCAGCTGTGTCCTTTTGGGAGCTTCGCGGACTCTGTCTATCGTATTAACAAATTGTTGCATCGGCTATCGAGTTACAAGACGAGACGATTGTTTTGTTACGTAAGTAATCGTTTATTCGTTGATGCGCGTGGGTGTACAACCTAGCAGAGGTCGGTTCACCCAAACTTTTCGTGTCTATCGTCGATGAATAAAGAATTGCTGACGCGACTGAAACTCATCCTTTCGCGGGAACAATTTGCCAAGCATCGAAGTACGTTGACATTATTAAGGCTCCAATACCACAGTCCGCGCGGGGTACGTGGGTGTATTTTTAATCATTTTTTTCCGAGCAAACGATGAATGTTCTTTTCTTTTTTTTTTCACGGTGAAAACCGTGTCGGTGATTTTCATGGGACCTGATTTTGATCGATCGGATGAGAGAAAATGAGAAGCGGTCAGCCTTTAAGCGGTAACCCGTGTTACCGCTGACGTCGCGTGTTCAG